TAATTTTGAAAAGTTATCTTGGAATGATAAAAAAAAATTAGCTTTTCAAATTGCAGATGGAATAAATTATTTGCATAACGAGGATGTTTTACACAGAGATCTTGTAAATATTACATTTAATTTATTTATTTGGTAAAAGTTATGTAAAATTATTAATGATTTACTTTAATTTAGCACTCTAAGAATATAGTTATTCATGAAGATAATGCCAAAATTACAGATTTTGGTATTTCAAAAGTTGAAAATAATTCCACGATGCATATTGGACTTTTTGGTAAAACCGCTTATATGGAACCACAAATACTTTCCGATCAAAATTTTCAATATATTAAGCCTTCAGATATTTATAGTTTTGGCGTATTGATGTGGGAAATTTCTAGCGGACATCCTCCATTTGAAGATAAGTTTAATAATAATCAAGACCTTCTTATTGCTATTACTTGTCATGAAACTCGTGAAACTACTATAGCGGATACACCTAAGGATTACGAAAAACTTTATAAAAAATGTTGGAAACAGAAACCTGAGCAAAGACCAATCATTAAAGAAGTATTGAAAAAATTTTTGAAGATGGGCTTTGGAAAAAAGAAGGACGATCAAACAACCAAAAGTAAATGTTTATAATAAATTTTTTTTCTGTAATTTATATAATTTAAATTAATTTTTTTCAATTTATTAATATAGACGTAATTATAGAACATACGAATAATAATTCTGATCCTGATTCACAAGTTGGCGATTCTATCCAATTGGTTACCTATGATGAATTAGATGGTAAAGTTGCCTATTTAAATTTTGATCGTATAAATCACGAACATATTAATTTAAATTAATCTATTAATTTAATTGCTTTTTAGTTTCTTCATTTTAAAAGCGCGCGGAAAATTACCAAAGAAAATTTAATTGTTAAAAAATTTAAACATTTCACAATTTACATTTTATGATAATATAAAATAAGGTTGAAAAATCTATTATTTATATCTTACGCGCAGTCATATCGTGTAACACTTAAAAAGATTTTACTATAATTTTCAAGTTTTTAAAAAAATGATACGAGAATTTAAAAAATCTGGACAATTTTGATTATACCAGATTTTCCGAATTTTTTTTTTTTTTTTTTTTTGTAATTTTCTCAATTTCATGTTTAGTTTTATTCTTATTTTTTTATTAATTTTATTAACTTTTGTACGAACGTTTTTCATTTTTCTTTATATTATTCAATATTCAGTTCTTTCGTTTATGTATTTATAAAAAATTTTGATGTAAGCAGAAGGTTTTTATTGAGTAATTATTGAGTAAAAATGAAGTAATTGTGACAGAATATTTATTTTATAATATCAAATTAATCAGTGTTGCCTCAACGTTGGTGCTCTACACTTTCGCAATGTCAATATATTAAAACTAAATAAATGAAATTACGAAAAAATTGAATAATAAAATAATAAGAAAATCGGAAATTAAAATAAACGAAGTTACAAAATACGAAATTTAAATGTTAAAACGACGAAAGCGAAATATCGCGAAGGGATTAAAGGAAGTTTTTCGAGGTGTATGTATGCAAAATATAATAAGGGAGAGCGTGGTATGTTGATCTGTCTATGGGTTTCCTGCTCGTATTTATAAAAAAAAAAAAAAAATTATTAGGCCAGCCTATCATCTTCATACCTGGCAAATGATCTTCAAAAGACTAACTGCAAATATCGAAAGTGATTTACATGCGAAATTATGTTTATTCATTGTAACAAAATTAATCCTTTTTCGGCATTATCAATTTATCGAAGTACGCGGTAGCAGGTATGTATGTGTTTATTTCTTAGTTTATTTTAGCTTTTATTTTTTTAATTTCTGATTTTTTCACACTTTTATCATTATTTTCTCAAATCTAATGAATATATCACAAATGAAATGAAGTTATAAAGCGTGGAAGCGGATGGGTTGACATACGTCTTATGCTTCCCGATTTTTAGTATAACCGCACTTACTGCGTCTTTAAAAAAATTCGAACTTTTTTTCCCATCAAAGCGCATTCGGACATTGACTCATTGGGCTACTCCTACATGAATGAATTTAAGGAAAAAATAATTATATGCTTATGATCTAGGAAATAAGCTGCTCGCGTTCATATTTAAAATTTTATTTCCTTTTAAGCAGATAAAAATTAAACATATACGTCTGATTATTGATTATGTCCACAATTTAGTTTATTTAATGCTGGCCATCATCACATAATCATATATTTACGCCCTTTCTAAGAATTCGCAAAGTTGTTATCGAACCGTCTAAACTTTCGAGACCCATCGAAACCTATCGAAACCCGTCGAAACCCATCGAAACTGTCGAAACAATTTTTGAAAAGTTTCGACTTTTGCCAAAATGGGTTTAGGGTTTTGCCCCGCAACTATATTGTCTACTAATTTTTTTTTATTAATGTTTGATTTAATTATCAGAACCGAAGAGCTATACTTAGTTAATTAGTATTAGTATTTAATTATACTTTTTACTGTAATTTAAACTCAACTGAATTTTTTATTTTTTTATTAATTAATTTTACTTTTTACTATAACAAAATAAGTATGCCTGTAGGAAAAAGTGGTTTATTATTTCAAATGTACATGTACTAATGAAGTTAATATATTTTATAGAAATGGCGAACCCTACTTTCAAAAACCTAATATCGTCGGGAAATAGTTACATTCCAACTTTTTAATTTCATGCAACAAATGTAAGCCGATTGAAATGTTCGAGTACTATAATCGAGGCTGAGAAAATAGGCTTTTTTTGGTTATAAAATTGGTACAAGTATTGATTACTTATCGACATTTTGCGTACTAAGTATCATGAATTAATCAAAATGATTCCTTTAGTGGTCTAAACTCATATAAATGTTTAAAATTTTATAATTGCATCGTATATTCCGTTTATCATAAATTCCTTAAGGCTAAGGAAAAATTAGTTTCAGAAAATAAGTTTGTTATTGATTGAACTTTCTTGAACTGCATGAGATATTATAAAAAATAAATCTTATACATAATCCCATTTTGTCTCGGAGTCGACCTCGACAAGATTATATAAATTTAAATGAAAAATCCGAAAAATAATTTTTGTTAATGTTAAATCTGGACTTACTTTACTAAAAAAAAAAAAAATCATATTTAGTAAAATATATTTTTATTCTTATTTTTTTTTTTGTAGTTTTCTCCCTTTCTACTTCAATCGCCCATATCTGCAAATATTCATTCATAATTAATTTATTATAACAACAAATTCAATAATAGGCTTTACAATGTACTACCTCTTATCAATCGTTTTGGGATCTTTGCTCGCCTTACTAAGTTCTATCCAAGTTTCAAGAACCGGCAGAACTACGTCTTCACCAGATGCAAAATATGAATATAAAAATTAAACCTGCATAGAACTTTTTGTAGACAAACCAATTGAAATATTGGAATTCTCTCCATATTGAATTATTGGTGTGACTTGAAGGATTACCGCTTCTGCTATTATCAATGAAATAATTTAAGCGGAAGTCGTCCAAGAAAGAATAAACCTTGCTGTTAATAATTAAATACTTAAATTTATATAATAGCATTCCGGATTATATTAATTTTTGTAAGTCATTATTAACTAGCTGATTTTGGAATATCAATAAATTTTGAACAACAATGTCAAAAGGTTTAGGTGTAATTCCTTACATTGATCTTAAAAATTTGGTAAATGAAAAGAAATGATAGTACATTGCAACAATATAAGCTGAGAAAATTGATTTTAAAGTAAAAGTATTGCGTGCTCTTTCTTCCTTTTTATGTTGGTGAACAATTTCGACAACGATTTAGCAATAGATATTCGTTCTTAATACACCTGAAAACTTCCAATTATACAATAAATTTTTAATTTTTGGAATCTCATAACACGTTCGAATTACATTTTATTTTTATTTTGAAATATCTTTACATGCAAAGTATAATTTTTCACCGGTAGTACAGCATATAACCATATCTTTACTCTAATTATCGTATATAAGCAACGTTTTTAATAACCCTCATTTTCAATATCTTTTGATCACTTTGAATCGGGATACCATCGCAATGTTCAAATTCTGGAGTGAACTCTTGGTATTTCACTAAGAAATAAAATAATCAAATTAAAAAAGTATTTATATAATTTAATCAATATAAGAATCATTGATTGCTCACAATAAAATCCCAAATCATTTCCAAAATTTCTATGACAAATTATTGAATTCATTGTTTGAAGGAGAATAATAATTATACCTATTTATAAAATACGTCGATTAAGTTAACATTACATTACTTTTATTCAAAACTTAATAAAAAACGAATTAATCTTACTTAAAACAAATACTATTTGGAACCATGAATCATGTTGAATAAAGTATTTAAAACCACATAAATGTTCATTTAATAAGTTATTTAAACAGTGATTATAAAATAAAGCATTTCCGATATATATAATGATCATTAATCTATGTGATTCGTTTTTAATCTAGATAAAAGAAAAGTATCACATCTTAATCAATGAAATGAACAAAGATTATTATTTAGTTGAAACTAATCATATTACCGCCTTTGGAATGAATTCAACATATAGTTGAAGAATAAAAAACCATGGAATTAATTCATAAAAAGATTTTTGGATCGATTCCTAAATTGAAGTTGTACCCATAAATCCTCGCAAGTTTTCTAAACCATGTTACATATGATAAATATCCAAAATGTACCGCTTGTGCATGTATAAGAATTAGATTTCTTTGATAGGTTTTATACATTTCTGTTAAAAGAGTAAAAAACGATACAATCTATGAACGTTAAATATAATTAGTGCAACCATGAACCGTTTAGAATGCTTACTTTAATTTGTTCTTTTTTTGTGATTTTCAGATCTTTTATTACTGGCCAAATCCTTAACCGAAAAGAAATATCCAACAAGTTAAGATTTAAATTTATATTACAAAAAAAAAAAATTATTTATTTGAATGATATTTAAACATACCTTCTTTTCCACATATTAATGACTAAGATTAATTGATAAATAGTAAATGTCGAATACAAAATAACCCAAGTAACAAGATAATTAAAAATAAACTCCTTTAACTCTTTCAATCCTTCATCTTGTGCTGCGAAATCAAGACAAACGACATTTATACACCTTATAACAATTCTTAAAGTGATTAATAACACTGTGCCAATATTAATAATCCTAAGAAAGAAATATATGATGCCATGTAATATTGATCGTTGTTGTAACTATACAAATCATTTAAATTTTATTTAGGTAAATATGGCACCTAAGAATAAAAAAATGAAAAATTATTTATAACATACTGCTACAATTCCGGATGTTTTAAAATAAACTTCAAGAATTAATATAACCAATGGTCGTAATGTTTTTAAACTAATAACCATATAGAAGACTGAAATGACATTTATGGCACATTCAAGGATATAAGAAACAATCAATAATTTCTCAACAAAAGTGTAATGAGATAGAAACGAATTGCGTGTAAATTTTGATAAATTCTCCATCTCTTTTTTTTTACACTTTAAAATTGACGACGACAACATTAGTTAATTTATATTGTATTGAAAAAATTCATTTTACAATGATAAGTACGAAGGTCGCACCATGCTCACTGTCTTGTAAAATCGGCCGATCCTAAATTAAAAGCTTCGGGCAATACAGCATATGATCGGGCGAACTCTACAAATCAATAAATACAATATTTTAAATCATGTAAAACGTGATTATAAACAGTACAGTAAATCAAAGATTAGGCGTTATAAATAAGTTAGCTTAGGGCTGAAATAAATAATTAAGTAAATTACAGAATAAATTAATTTTATAGAATTCTAAGATTTGGGCAAAGCCATAAATGGCTTGGTCAAACTATGCCAACCATAATATTTGATATTTTAGTTTATGTAGAATATAATATAAAAATATTACAAAAAAATTTTAAATAACACAAAAGTTAGCTTTGAGTCAACTTTTTGAACATTTTATATATAAATCATATATTATTACAAATATTAATAATATTAAAAATTTAATTTATGAAATAGACATTCCAGAAATAAATAAAAATATTGTAAATATTAATAAGTTACTTTGTAAACTCATTATATCAATTAATGCTAAATAAAATATCAAAAATAAAAAGTTGTCAACATTCAAAACATAATATTTATGAAGCAAAATCAACAAATTTATTTAAAATTCCAAAAAGATTAACTGAAGTATTAGAATTAAATGAAGATACAATGATTTGCAATATTTGTAAAAAAAAAACTGATAATGTTTACAACATGAACAATATCAAGTATTAATAACTAGAAAAAATAATTATATAATTTACAAAATAAATTAATAGATGATAATAAATATAAAAATACATGTTAATATTCAAAATTTGAAATTTATTTAAGTGAAAAAATCAAATAAAGTGAAGAATTATACAAATAAAAATCTTACCAAAATTCCAAAAAATTAATTGAATTATTAGAATTAAATGAATTTGTAATAATATGTAATATATGTAGAAAAAAAACTGATAAAAATCCAGAATATTTAGAAACTAAAGAATATAAAGCACTAATTACTAGAAATAATAATAATAATAATATATATTAAAATAGAAAATTATAGTTACTCATTTAAAATAGATACTAAAGAAGAATTAAAGCAATTAGAATCTGTATTTGTGATATTAATAAGAATCAGATCAATATAAATTGGATAATATTGCAAAATTTTATAGTATGTTCATATTTATCTAAATTGTAAAGTATTTATATTGAATTTGTGTTGAGCTTATTGTTACAGTGCTATCAATGCTAATACAGTCATCTTCTCTTCCTTTTATTTTGCCTATATCTTTTGTTATTAATGATAAAGATGTAAAAACTGATAATAAAGAAATAAGCATTGTTAAGCCTAAACACTATGTCATTAGGATAACAAAGCTATTTGCTAACAGGGAGTTTAAGTTGTAAATTATGAAAGAAATAAACATGAATTTATTTAAGTTGAAGGGTCAGGTCGTCTTTATTGATGATTTAGGTTTTAAGGAAATAGATATTGGCAAAGATATAGATTTTATGTTGTTAAGATTATACTTTATTAATTATACGATTGAAACTTGTTGGTTTGTCAAGGCGACAATACAGGATATTTATATAAAATACAATTATAAGATAGAGATAATAAATATAATATTGAAAGTAAATATAACTATAAAAATAAATATATTAAATAAAATAATGATAAACATAATAATAAAGAAAATAATTATCACAACGATAACCGTGATAGCAATGAAATTAGTAAAAATGATGATCACGATTTTCCTAATGATCATTGGTGACGTTAGTTGGCGTAGTTATTTGATAGCGCAAACGGATTATCACTAACAACTTCCTCCTCTAACATCTGAGCTCCTGCGATGGTACTAGCTTCTTGTACAAGCCATTGATGTTATTTACAATTAATACGAGAGAGCATTCCTATAGTTGTATGCTTAGTTCAAGCAATTTGGTCTATTCTAATTAATTCATATAGGTAATATACTTATACAACTACTTTTTGGTAGTATGGTGAGAGAATGTTCATACATTGAGTTCTTTCAGTTAGTGATTCAATCTTAGTTTCAATAGCCTTTCCTATATACCAGAGGACTATTAGTATTTTGACTCGATTTCTTAAGCTTTTTGCTTTTCTTAGTTGTCGAAATAGAGATTTCACTTATTGTAAAGCGGTATCGTTGTGCTGATAAAAAGGAGATAAAATATCTGGATAAAGTGGGTCAGTTTGTTGCAAGTCTGCTAAAATTTGATTATATAGTTCCATTTTAAATTTGAAGAAAAGGGTGAAGTTCAATCAATATCTACTCTATTTATATAGATTTTTAATAAACTTCCATTCACGAGGATTTTTAGGACTTTTCCATTTAATTCCTTAATCTTGTAAGCTCCATTTCCAATTATGTCATATATATAGTATGGTCCTTTTAATTTTAGGTTTAGTTTTCCTGACCACTGCTTATCTAACATCGCTTTATAATACAAAACTTGATCACCTATTTTATATGACACAATTTTCTTTAATTTTTCATCATGTTAATCTTTCTGTTTTTGTTGTTCTTTTTGCAAATTTTGTTGAACAGTATTATGAATAATTGGCAGCTAATCTAATTGTTTTTCCACATGGTTGAGCAAGAGGGATTCCTCCTCTATTTCTGTACTATCCATTAGTAATTTAGCTTCTCGTTCATATACGAGGAAAAAGTATGTCATTTTTGTAACAGAATGTTCATTTGTACAATAGGTAAAAAGTGCAGGGGTAATAAAATGATCCCAATCTCTTTGGTGATTGGTAGCAGTTCGTGCAAAGGCTTCTATTAAAGTTCTATTAAACCTTTCAACTAATCCATTGGTCTATAGATGGTATGATGTTAACATTCTATGAGGTATTTCAAATTTCTGTAGTAATTCATGTAACAGTTGATTATTGAAATGAGTACCACAATCGGTAAGTATTTCTCCAAGACATTTATGTTGGCAAATTATATCTTCATACACGAATTGTACAGTTGTTTTGCATCATTGTATCTTACAGACTTAGCTTCTGATCACTTAGTTAAATAGTTCATAGCAACGATTATATACTTATTTCCTTTACTTGAAACTGGTAAAGGTTCAACATAATCTATTTCAATATGATGAAAAGGTTATCCTATAGGGATAGGATGTAAAGGTTCTATTCTTGAGGCTCTTCCTCTTTTCTGACAAGAGTTACATGATTGTACATAGTTTTTGATATCTTCAAACATTTGAGGCCAATAAAAACGTTTTCTAATTTTCTCTATCATCTTTTCTTTTGAACTATGAGC